GGGTTTTCAAGAATTTTGCAACCCAGATTAGGTTTTCTCCGTAAACTAGGGCCACCCTTTTCTCCCCTTCTACCACTTTTTTATCTGGCCACTCAAGAAACACCAATTAATTTTGTGATTAGCCCAAATAAAACATAATTAGGAAGTTAAGCCAGCTCCAGAAATACTACACATCTGTTTCCAAAACTTCATACCTTTCTCCTTTTCTCCACTGTTATAAATTATCCAAATCACTCGTCTTTACATTAAAGTGAATAATTGAGGAATACCCCAAATACAATAATTAGGATTTAAAGTACCGTAGGATTCTAAGACCTCAAAAACCTTATTTAATTCTTTAAACATTGACTCTAAGTTGTTTCTAGTGGAAAACAACCTCCATCCACTGTGTGTGTCCCCACCAGTGGGAGCAGTGGCTGCCTGGTGCTGGCTGTCATGTGGGACCCCTCAGTAACAGAATGTCACTTGGATCTATTTCAGAGTTCTCTAAAACGAAGAGGCAGTCGGGAAATGTACAAAGAGAAGAAAACGTTTAACCAGGTAAGCAGAGCTTTTCATTCTAATGTTACATCTCCTAAAGAGGAAATCACCTCATTTTTAATTATCTCAAAAAGTATTAGCTTTGCCTTTAAAACACTAAAGGAAACATTACCTGCCAAAACATTTGGATTCATTCAAAACCTCCATGGCATGAAAATTTCTTTTCCAAATGCATAGCTCCTCCCTTTTGTTTCTCTTTTGCACTGATAAGCTGGTGATTTCTTCAGGAAAGAGAACAGACTAGCTTTGTGTGAAACATCATTAGGTGTAGTTTAGGGGTCTGGCAGTACTCAGAACTGGTAAAAAAAAAAGGAAAAAAAAAGCGTTTTGTATTTCAAAGTCCTTCACACAGTAAAATAGTACATCTACTGTAGTGTTGGGTCACTAATGAGCCATTGTTTTGAGGTGTTTTTTTTTTTAATATACAAGCTGGACAATATCTTAAATTATATTAATTGAAAGGAAAACATTCTAGCTGAAAAACGGTGAACACTCAGCCCTTCATATGTGCACAGTATGTGTTCTTCAAAACTTTCTTAGCTTTTCTGAAAAGTCATATTATTGGATTCTTTTTCTTTTTTTTTTAAATTGCTGCACATATTAGGTGTTGGAGAGAACAAAGGTGTTAGGGGATCAGCTCACTGAACTCGGTGAGCAAGTAGTAATCAGAGAAACCCAAGAAGTGGAGGAACTAAGGATTCAAAGGCCTGGGTGCTGCCCTGACCCTGCGAACTCTCCTCCTATTGATTCCCTCTGGTTTTCACATTCTCCAAACTCACTGATCCCCAGAATGTCATTCAGGAGAGCCAGGCTCCTGTGAGCAGCAGGAATGCTGAAAATTAACCCTTCTCTTTCACCCCTTCAAAATCCCCCCTGAATCTCACTTTGGAACCCACTAACAGGGAAATTGAAGGCCATCGGCCCACTGCTGGTGCTTACGCCCTCCTGGGCTGAGAGTATGTTTCCAATGTACTGACTCTTGCCCAGGGAAGATCTTTTCCTTAAAAGGGGAATTTCTGCCCCGTTTTGAGATGAACAGCATGGAATCACATTCACCTGTGGATACCACAGGCCCAGAACAGGAGCTGCAGCTCCACGGCCTGGGGAGCAACCCCAGCCCCGGGAATGTGTGCGTTGCCCCTGAGCCTGTGAGCATTTTGAGAAAGGAGTTTCTGTTCAGCAGAATGGTGGAGTGGAGCACCTTGGGAACTGCAGGCTCGCAACCAAAACTCAAAGGAAGCCGGCGCCCCGGCGCAAGGTAGGCACACGGGCATTGCTGCTGGAGCGGGCGCTGGCCAGACGGCAGACTTGCCAGCCAAAGAATATACACGAAGAGCAGTGTATTTCTGTTGCTTGGCAAGGCCTCTCCAGCTAGTGGTGATGGTGGTGGTCCTGCAAGTGTCCCCCCCATGCCACGCTTGCCTTCTTTGCCGCAGCAGGAGCAGTTTTGTGTGGAAAGTTTGACTGGACCTTCTGCTTTCATATTGCCTTCCTGGAGCCATCTGATGGTCTCTTGAAACCAGAGCTTGACGTCCTTAAGCTTAGGATTCAGCCTGGACCCCTCCCCTCACGTCTTGGCAGAGTTCTAGAAAGTCTATGGTTACTGCTGTTTGAGCTGAGCCTGTGATTCCCCATCTTAGAAGGAGTGGCTTTCTCCGCTCAGAGCAGGCTGGGCTCAGCTTCCCGGGGCGCCCCCCCCCCCCCCCCCCCCCCCCCCCCCCGCCCCCGCCCCCCCGGAGG